TCTTTCCTTCCTTCCTATTCCCATGTCCTCCCTCCTTCCATCCATCCATCCATCCTTCCATCCTATTCCCATTTCCTTCCTTCCTTCCTTCCTTCCTTCCTTCCTTCCTCTCCCAGATAACCCAAGCAATACCCAAGGTCTTTCAAGATGGGGAATAGCAGCTTCACAACCCAAAATCATCTCGTTCGACATACCTAGGAAGGCTGAGGGGGGAACGGCCCAGCACCCCCCCAAATAGAAATCAAATCCGTGGGTTGCGGAAGAAGTTCCATCTCCTTTTTGTTTGTTTGTTTCTTTCTTTTTAAAGCAACAAAAAAAGTGGACCCTTCTCTAAAGCAAACATTGCAAGCAAAAGGCAAGCAAGCAAAACAATTTTTTGGGGGGACGGAGACTCCAAAGTTTTTATAAGGAATAGGGGGACAGATCCCGTCTGTCTGTCTGTCTGTCTGTCTGTCTGTCTGTCTGTCTGCAAATGATCTGAGAATTTGCTTGTTGGTTTACGGACGGGGAAGCTGGAGGGAAGCTATAGGCATCAGGCATGGCCGCTCACAGTCCTTCCAAAGAGGTGGGGGAGCCCAGTAGAGGAAAATTTAGCCTGCTTGCCCTCCCTTCCTCTGGGTCCTGGGCTTCCCTCCCCCTGCCCCCCCAAAAGAAAAACTGGTGTGTTTTCCTTTGGAAAACGGTGAGCCTGGGAGGGAGGCGCGTCTGGCTGGGTTCTTGCTGTTCTCAAAAACCCGTCCCAGTCTGTGCGGCCTCTGCTCCACTTTTACTTTTTTCCTTTCTTGACTTCTCTTTTTTTGGGGTGTGTGTGTGTGTGTGTGTGTGTGTGTGTGTGTGTGTGCTTTTAAATAAACATTGGCCTGCCGAGGAACATGGGGAGAGAAAGAAAGAGAGAGAGAGAGTCAAGGGGGAGCGGCATTTAATTAATTTATTTATCTGCAAACCCTTTTTACAAGGCCGCGTCCCTTCATACGAGACGACCACCGAAGCCCGGAGTTGAACTCTTAGAAGTTCCTTCCCTTTCTATAAATCACGGCTGCTGATGAAGTCAAGCTGTGATTTATTTCCTCCCCCCACCCAAGAAAGGGCTTGGAGCTTTTCTTTTTTTTTTTCCAGGAGTGGCTTTGGATTCAGGGATGGGTGTGTGTGCGTGGGTGGAAGAGTTGAAAGACTCCCCCCCCCCCACCAAAAAAAACCCCTCTTAGGTAGCCACCAACCTTCCCCCGAGTCCCTCAATTCTCACCTTTTCTGCTTTCTCCCTTAACTTCTCCAACCTTCCTCCCCAGGGGCTCTTTTGAAGGGCAGGATGTTTTAACAAAAAGAGGCTCCAAGCTTGTATTTAAAAAGAGAAAAATAAACAACAGCCCCGAAGTGTCAGGACAGAAAGAGTGGCCTCTTCACACACACCACCCTCCGGATCTCGGGCTAATATATATATATATATATATCTTTCCTTCCCTTTTTTTTCCCTGGGTGTTTATTTTCCTTTCCTTTTTCTCTCCCTCCCTCTCTCTCTCTCTCTCTCTCTCTCTCTTTTTTCTTTTTGCAGAAAGCACGCTCTCAATTGCCATAGAATGAAACCGGCTTTGTTCAGCGTCCTGTGTGAGATCAAAGAGAAAACAGGTAGGAAAGGCCAGCTTTTTTTTTAATTGGGGGGGGGGAAAGGGGGAAACAAACCAACAAAAAAACACGGGGGGAAAAAAAAACAACCCCCAAAAGAGGCCAGGCCTCTGGCACCCTCATTCTCCCCCCCCCCCAGTCCCCCCCTTCCCTCCCTGGATAAAGAGGACCACCGACTTCTCCTGCCCCTTCCTCATCTCTGGGAGAAGCTGCCTTCGGAGCCGCAGCCATCTTTGATCTGTTCTGGTCGGTTGGGGATCTTTTAGGTCCCGGAGCCCAGTGGGAAAGACCATCCTGGCAAACGCACTGGGGTTGTCGTTGTTGCTTTTTGTTCCGTTTGCAAAAAAAAAAAAAACACACAACCCTCCCAGGCTGCAAAAGGCAATGAAAAAAGAATATGGAAGTGCAACCGTGCGTCCCCCACCCGCCCTCGCACTTCCCTGCGTTTCTTATCAAAGCACCGGAGCGGATTTAGCTAGCTTTTCTTTTCTCTCTCTCTCTCTCTCTCTCTCTCTCTCTCTCTCGTCTTCCTTAGCTTTCCATTCCTTCTGATGGAAGTAACAGGGGAGCTAATTACAATTACGGAGAGTGGCTGAGCTAGGAATTTGCCGGATCCCCTCTGGTGTTTTAATTTGTTGTGCTTGCCGGGCGAAGAAGATCTCGCTTGCAAAGCGCCTTCTGCCCTCTCTTCCTGCTTTAGGGTTGTTGTTTTTTTCATTCTGGTGGCGGGGGGAACGACTCCTGGTTGTTTCCAGAAATGCTTTTAGAGGCTGCAGGAACATCCCACCTCCCCGGGATCTTTTATTTATTTATTTTTATTTTTTTTTACAAAGGGGTGAACTAGACGTGGTTTCATCTCTTTCTCTGCCTGGGGGGGGAAGATTTCAACCTGGCAGTTTTTTGAATCTCCCCCAAAATAAGGGATAGAGGGAGAAGAAGAAAAAAAGAGAGAGAGAGAGATTCTTGTCTCAAAGTCTAAGGTTGACAAAGCAGAGCTCCAGGAAAGCGAGATTTTATTTTATTTGCAGGCCAGTTTTAAGAGCTGAAAAAGACTTCTTACTATCAGGAGCTGTCTGCTGTAAACTTGATAGTTTTAAAACTGTATTTTCCACCATTCAAACTGCAGAGAGTTTGTTGGACTCTTTAACAGTTATAAGTTGCTCCTCCTAAAGGGGCGAACTAGCAACATGTTGTTTATTTTTTTTTAAAAAATCTATTGACTTCCTAGCAAGGGTGTAAACTCCAGGTTTTTTTCGGCAATTGTCTCAGTTGGCGGTGCATTCATGCATGTGTGAAATTTAAGTGAAAAAGAGAAGCAAAATACCAGAATCCCCAACATTTAGGTCTTTGGAAACCCGTCCGAGCGGAAAAAGTACGGAGCTGGTATTGCTGGAAGTGTCTACACAGGAACAATTGCCAAAGCTATATTAATTTTTTTTTTTTTTGCAAGTCTCACCTGTTTTTCTTTTTCTTTTTTCCTTTCTTTTAAATTGAGAAGTTGATAAAACTGTTTTCTAATACTGTGCATTATGTGCTGATAATGGAGCTTTGCCTAGAGTTTTAGCATTGTGGTGTGGTTTTGCTTGCTAGCGGGGAAAGAGAGAGAGAGAGAGAGAGAGAGAGAGAGAAATGGTAAATGGAAAGAAAAGGTGGAGATTGACCTAAAGGGGTCCTTGGTGGAATTGAAACCCAGCCAGTGAGAATTCCTGTGAAAGTCCCCTTGTGCTTCGGCCGGCGCGAAAAAGGAATATCCTGCCTCCTAGTTCAAGCCTTGCCCTGTGCTCATATATTTACTGCCAGCAAGCCAGCTGACCTTGCCAAGCTGAATGTGGGAATGGCCTGGCGGTGTTCTCTGCCCACCTTCAAATTTTTGGAGCTGGGAAAATGAGAAAAAGAAAGGTTAGGATGGTTGGTTTTTTGTGGCTGTTTTCCTGCTGTTTGGACTCTGCTAAGTGATAGTCTCTCTCTCTCTCTCTCTCTTGACTTCTGAAAGATGTTTTGCCTCCTGAATGTTGCCTCTCTTTTTCTATTCAAGTCCCTTGCCTTATTTTGTTTGTTCCTATTGTTTTTTTCCTGGCAAGCACATTGGGGGGGGTCTGTGAGTCCTTTACACCCAACACATCCCTTGATAACTCAAGGGTCCCATCCCGGTGAATTCTCCTTTGCCAGCAGTTTAAACTTGGCTGGGGAGGGGGGAAAGTGTGTGGGGGAAGGAAGGTCCTGGAGTTGGCGATGCCAACGGGGGAGACCGGTTGCTGTTTTTTTAGCAGAAAAAAAGGGGAAACTTCGGGCTTAAGTGAAAACTCCACAGCCTGTTGGGTGTGTGTGTGTGTGTCATGAATGGAGAAGTTACTTGCGTTCTCTACGCAATTCCCACCCCTGGTGAAATGCTCCAGACTTTGGCCTGTTTTTCTCCGGCGAAGAATACTTCCCTTAGCAATTTCAGAAAGTTGGGAACGTGAGTATATTAATATCCTAAGCGGATGATGGGGAAAAGAAAGGCGTGTCTCACCTCTGGGGAATATCGTAGTAATACAATAGAATATATTTGCTTATAGGTTTATTTGAATGGTTGGCCCTTGGAAAGGGAGAAGTTAGAAAGTTAGTTTTTTTGACATGCTTTGGTTTGTATGATCATGGTTGCTCTTTCTTCTCCTTCCTTCTGCCTGAGCAGAGAGAGATTCCTCCTGCACAGTTTTTAAAACTTCCTTCTTTCCCTTTTTCCTTCCTTCCCTTTTTCTTTCCTTCCCTTTTTCCTTCCTTCCTTTCCATACCTTTCTTTCTCTCCTTTCTTTCTTCTTCCTTCCTTCCTTCCTTTCTTTCTCTCTCTCTCTCTCTCTCTCTCTCTCCTTTATTCTTCTCCTTCCTTCCTTCCTTCCTTCCTTCCTTCCTTCCTTCCTTCCTTCCTTCCTCAGTTGTACCTGGCCATTGCATGAAGTCTGTTGCATCCTATGCAATCCTCTTCCCCCTCCCCACCCCTCACAGAAGCAAATAAAGCCAGAGGAAGAAAAAATACCTGTTTTTGAGATTATTGATAAAATAACTTGCAGCCGCTTTTACTGCGTGCACGAAAAGGAAAAACGGGAGCGTAACTGTTGGAAATATGAGGGGCGGCAAACTAATTGGAACCTGTAAGGGCAATTTTAGAGCTATTTATTTAGGCAGAGGAGGCTCTGATATCGCGGGTGGCCTTGAGTTGCAAAACACGCTGTTTTAGTTTGGGAATTCTTAGCAGATCTACGGAGCCCATATTCCCAAGACCGTCCCAAAATACAGTATTTTGTAAATAAGAGTATTTGTTCGAGAACTCCACTCTGGAATTAGGTGGAAGAAGTTCCCTTCATTGGAATTTCTAGAATTTTAATTTGCAATCCTTGACTCTGTTTAAAACAATGTTTTAAGTTTTTTTAAAAACTTCCTAAGCCCCACCTTTATAAAGATGTTTATTATTTTTCCCCACCACCCAAATATTGGAAGCTTAGCAGAGAAGGGAAAGAGCTGTTTTGTCCTGCGAGTTAGCTTGTTGGGCCAGATGTTTTGCAAATAACATCTATTGAGAGGAGAAAGGTTATTCTTTAACAATAATAATAATAATAGGTTTGGGCTGTTATCGCGACTGAAGTCTTAACGATCAGGCTATTCCCATCCGAATTGTTCTCCTTTGCACGTTGCTGGGCTTGTATTCCTCTTTTGAAGGAGTTTCCCCCGTTTTTAATACTATCTCTTCCGCTCCGCTGAAAAGGCCCCGCATTTATACCAGACCGAAAAGTATTTGCCGCTTGTGTTTCCACGAACGCTCGAATGCTCTTTGCAAAATCCAGCAAGAAGCTGTTCTGCCCGGCCGCTGCGGTTTCTTTTTTTCTTTTTCTTTTTGCACAAGTTTGGTGTGCCTCTGAACACACACCAGCTTGAGCTGAAGCTGGCCATTGTCTCCTTTAAGGATCTGAGGTGACAGCTGCCCACACACACACACACACACACACACACACACACACAAAACGCTAATTGAAAGCCAGCGCGAGTCTAAATGGCTTTAATTCATTGGAAAGTCCTAATAATATACATAATGCCTCGCTAGGGTTGTGTAGCCTTTGTGAGGCTTTAGAAGATCGTAAAAATTAATGAACTTCTGTAGAGGAGGAAGAGGAGGAGGAGGAGGAGGAGGAAGAAAGGTGCCCGGAATTGCAGTTTGTTTCTAGGCCTTTTTTTAAAAAAAATAAAAAATAAAGTTTTTGTTCTGGGAAAATTTAGTTTTTCCCTCCAGAAGTTGCGAATGCTTCATCCTTGGGAGATTTTTTAAGAAGAGACCAGACAGCCCCTTTTTCTGGACTGGTATAAGGTTTCCTGCTTGATCAGGAGGGTTGGACTAGAAGACCTCCGAGGCCCCTTCCGACTCTGTTATTCACAATTGGCTCTCTTGTTTAAGCAGCCTGGGGGAAGTTTACGTCCAGATGTAGACTTGTTCCTCTTCTTCACTCAGGCTGTTTTCTTGGGCCGAGAAAACGAAGGAAGGAACGAAATGGTTTCGCAGGTAACGTATCGTCCACAGATAGCAACCTTCATCCTATTCCTAACCTTCCGCCGACGATTCAGGTCCTGTAACTCGGCCGGCTCTGGAAGCGCCTAGCCGGAGTCCTCCAACTCTTCGTTGGGCCACTTTCCATGACGCTCCACTATTGCCCAAACACAGCCCAACCTTGACTTGTATTCCTTCTCTGCTGAGAAGGGGGGAAACTAAATAACGCTCCCCGGGAGGAGGAAACCTTTGTAGGCCATTCAACAGAAGGAAGAAGCGGACTGCACGGGCCGCTTTTCCCCATCTACGCCGCCGCTTTTCCCGTACACTCCCCCGCTGACTCAAGGCTGACACCAGTTGTTGGCAAAGGGGCTCTTTTGGCAGTAAAATAGAACAACAGAAAGACTAAAAGGCTTTTGGAAGCTTGCCTGTTTTAAACAAAACCGATGGTGGAACGCTCTGTTTAAAAGTAAATAGACTGTGACAT